TTTTTTTGGCGGAACCGGGGATTGAACTCAGGCCCTTGCACTTGCCAGGGAAGCGCTTATTCTACTGAGCCATCTTCCCGGCCCCCTTAGACACAAACAATAACACTTTCTGTGCCACAAAGTTTGAGTGCTTTGTAGCACTTTTTCACTTTTTAATAACCCTTGTCGTTTTTTCTCATTAAACTTTGGGCTGCACATCAAAATTATAATGTGGGAGCCAGGGAGATAGCTCAGTAGAATAAGTGCTTGCCTGGCAAGCGCAGGGTCCTGAGTTCAATCCGAGGTACAGGGAAAAAAAATAAATAAATAAAAGTGAGAAAAGAGGAGTGAGAAAAGATCCTGCCTGTAAAGACCAGGCTGGGGAGGATATCTCTGGGTTGGTGCCACGAAGGATATAGTAATAAAGTGTAAAATAGGGCTGGGGAGATAGCTCAGTAGAATAAGCGCTTGTCTGGCAAGTGCAAGGTCCTGAGTTCAATCCCTAGTACCTCAAAAAAAAAAAAAAAAAGAATAAAATAAAATTTTATGTCATTGAGTATAACAAGGCTGTATGACTTTTTTAATGCTTTGCTTTTTCTTTCCCATCATTTCTTTGTGATTATATGTTCCTTCCATTTTTCAAATGAGAAAGCCAGAGATATAAAGTGATTTAAGGTAATAAATGAAAGACTTGGAATTAAAATCTTTCCATCCTGAGTTTGACAGTGGAATATTGAGGTCCCTACTCTACAGTACAATAAATACAATTGTATTAGTGTTTATCTGATTTTTCATGTCCACTTATATTTGTTTTATATAGTTGGGTGCCTTGGTATTTGGTGCATACATTTTCATAATATCTCTTTCTCTTGGATTGTTCCCTTTGCAAGGATGTAGTGACTTTCTTTGTCTCTCTTAATCAGCATTGGCTTGAAAGCCACTTTGGCTGCAAATAAAATAGCTACTCCTGCTTTTTTTTATTTTCCAGGTTCCTGTTACAGGGAATATTGTTTTCCATCCTTTGACTTTCAGTCTATAAATTTCTTTCTTTTTTGTTAATGTATTTAGTACAGGGTCTACAGGATCTCAATACACAGATCAGACTTGTAGTGATCCCTCCTGTTTTTCAGCCTCTCAAGCATGGGGATTATAGGTGCACACCACCACACTCATTCTAAATTGCTGTTTCAGAGCACCCCGGGGGTGGGGCCAGCACAGCAGACTGGGGATTGAAACCCAGGCCCTTAGGACTGCCTAAACAGGTGCTTTAATCTGCTGAGCTATCTGGTCAGCCTTTATAAATTTCTTTTTGAATTAAATGTATTTCTTGTATGCAGCATTTTGTTGGATCTAGCTTCTTGACCTACTCTGCCAGTCTGTTTTTTTTGACTGGTGAATTGGAACCATTAACACTGATGGTTATCACTGATGTGTACTGATTTATACTTTTCATGTTATTTTTCTGTTTTTGGCTCTCTCTTTCCCCCTCTCTTTAACTGCTTGCCTTGCCTGGTTGATTTATCCTTTGGTGTTGATGGAGTTGTAATCCTTTTTATATCTTTCTTTTTTTTTAATTTTTTTTCCATAATTTTATTGAGAAACAAATAGCAGTGAGACAGTTTCATATCAAATTGGTAGGACAGTTTCAATAATTAACACATTGCATACTGTCTTCCTAGTGGTCATTTGTTGTACAAGATGCAGACATGATATCCTATTTACAAACACTATTAGAAAAAAATCCCTCTATTCAGTGAATTAAGAGATTGTAGCTATATATCTATCCTAACCATTTTGAATACACAGATAAAAAATGATCATTCATCTGTATCCCCTGTTTTTGTTTAGTTCCATCATTTAAATATTATAGGTGTGTGAACTCAGCAAAATATTCCAAAATAGTCCAGTAGTCCATAATAGTATTGGGTCTTCTGCTTGACTGGCAATGTAAGAAGTTGTTGACCTGAGTCCCCTATAGCTCAATATAACACCATGGCTTTACTTCTTATACTTCGTTTTTATATTTTTCTGCTGGATGGTTAAGATTGAGATAAAGCAAGACCTATGCAACAAGAGTTGTAGTTTTTGGATCTGATAAGGTCAGTCAAATCCCCTCAGGATTTATCTACTGAGACCATGTACCTCAGATTGTAGATCCTTTGTCAGTGTCAGCCATGTAGATGAGTCACAGCCATTGCTTGACCAATTTGCTCTCTGTGACAGCCTGAGAGAATATTTTCTCTCCATGTGACTCTCCCTAGGCACACTCTACATCACTGATCACTTTGCTCTTTGGCCCCATAATCTCCTTGATCAGAAAATTAGGGACACAACTGAGTTACATGATGTTACAGTACAAGTTCTCATACGTCCTGAGGCTTAATTGACCTTGGAAGGCTAGGGCCAAAATATTGGCTTTCCTTGCGACCCTCCTTTTTCTCTAATTTTGGTCTGCAAACTTAGGTTGTTAACCCTCCAGAAGAGAAGCTTATTGTTATTACCACACAACCTAGGCTGTTGAGCTTAACCTCACTATCTGAATATCAAAAATCTTAGGCATAACACGGAACAGGTATTTTTCATCAAATACTGATATATTAAACTTTAAGTCCTTACAGAATATGACAAAAATTTTAAAAATTAATATATATTTAAAAATAGGAATAAAGAGTTATATATGTTTACACATAAGTCCAGAAATCTAACCATATACCTTTTTATCTCTTTCTTTCTTTTGTTTTTGCGGAACCGGGGATTGAACTCAGATCCTTGCATTTGCCAGTCAAGCGCTTATCCTACTGAGCCATCTCCCCAGCCCCATCTCTTTCTAAAATATCCTTCAGAATATTTTTGGAGTGCTGGTTTGGTGTTTATGAATTTCTTTTAGTGTTCTTTGTCATGGAAGTATGTTATTTTTTCCATCAATTTTGAAAGATAGTTATGTGGGGTACATTAATTTAAGTTGGAGGTTATTTTCTTTTAGGGCTTGAAATCTTACAGTCCAACCATTTCTCTCCTTTTCTTAAGGTTTTGTGTTGAGAATTCTAATGTGATTCTGGTGGACTTTCTTTTACAAGTGATTTTATTTTTTCTAAAACCTTTGAATCTTCTGTTCTTGTATTGAATTTCTGGAATCTTGACTATTACATGTCTTGTATGGTCACTGTTCACCTGTAGGTTTCCTCCTCCTTCCGCATGCAGTGAGTCAGGACTCAGGGATAAAGCATTACTTGCTACCTCCTAATGTATTGGGGTCTCTCTTCACTCTCCCTCCAGGCTTCACCTCTTGCGTCAGATCCTTGCTGGGCCCAGAGATACTTTTCCTCCCTTCTTCTCTTCTCACATTGCTATGTCCAGTGTCTGGACACCAGTTTCTGGTGAGGCTGTTTCTCTGTTTTACACCAGTCTGCTATCTTCTGGGAAGTTCTGCTCATAGTCCTAAATATATACATTAATTTAAGAAAGAACTAAGTTGTTAAACTTTTGAGAGTCATATGTTATTGAAATTTCTTTTTGCTATTTTGATTCTGTATATCAAT